CCCTAACATATTTCACACTCAATTTTGACACCTTCTTTATTTATTTTTTCTTTGTTTCTTGTTCCTTTTATAATTCCATTTAACTCCTCTTTTCTTTTATTTTCTTTATTTCTTGTTCCTTTTCTAATTTCATTTAACTTCTTTTTTATATTCTTTTTCTCTTCATAATCTAATTTCATTTATTGCTTTCACTATTTTTTATTTTTTATACAAAAAAATTGATATAGTAAATATTTGTTCACCTTTTAAAAAAAAATATAACTAGTATAATATACCTTTTGTCTTTTTTCTCATTTTCTTAATTCAATTATTAAACTTAAATAGTATTAGTTGTCACTTGATCTAATCTATTGAATATTACACTGACTATTGTTGAATACCATAAATTACATAATTATATTCTAAGAATCAACACGTGATTGTCATGCAAGCCTTGATCTCCTTCCCTGCAAATATAAGTACACACTCTACCATTAGCAGTAACACAACCAGTTATGGAGCAAGAAAATATAATCTATGGCCACGAAATCTCCATATATATGAGTTAGAATAGAAATGATAATAAAATATTAAAAAATGCAATAAAAGTATAAGTAGCAAAAAAGAATTCTAGTACCATATGATACCAATATGGTATACATATATACGAACAGAGTATATAATTGTTCTAGAATATTGCTACAACAATGTGCAACCATACTATTCTACCAAAACATTAAATGCTGCAATAAAAGTATGAGAAAATTATATGCTCGTATTGCAAGCTAAATATTCGCAAAGCAACTTGCTCATTCCGTATACGAACAAGGTATATAGTTGTATGAGGTCGTTCCAACAATTGCCTATAACTATAAAAACTATTACATAATACACATAATCTATGTCCGTCGGCACAAAAAAAATTCCAACACTGCAAATCATGTTCATATAAATAATTTTAGAATAAAATCACTTAAAAATACAGCTAAAACAACCAAAAAAATATTCAAACTATCATATGATACCAATATGGCATATAACTATACCAACATGGTATACAGTTTTATTGGTTAATTCCCGACAACTATATCACTATACTACTATTACATAACATACATGCATAAAGAGAAAAATAAAAAAATAGTGTATCACATATTAATATAATAAAGTATGTCAAGATATTATACTGTATTACTATTATTAAAAGAAAATCAAATAGTGTACCAATTAAATGCAGCATATGGTACCAATATAGTATATAGTTATACTAATAGAGAATATAGTTGTACGAGGCCATTCCAACAACTGCATATAACTATAAAAACTATTACATAATATACAAAATTTATCTCCATAGGTACAAGAAAAATCTAACACAGCAAAACATGATCATATAAATCATTTCAGAATAGAATTTACTCAAAAATATAGCTAAAACAACCAAAAAAATATTTCAACTACCATATGATACCAATATGACATATACTTATACCAATAGGCTATACAATTCTACTAATTAATTCTAGGCAACTATTTATAACTATACTACTATTACATAATACACACGCATAAAAAGAAAAAAATAGCGTACCACGTATTAATATAATAACGTATTTCAAGATATTGTACTATAGCAATATTATATAAAACAAACGCATAAAGAAAAAATCAAAATGATTACATAATACACATGCATAAAGGAAAATTAAAAAAATTCAAGATACTGTACTATTCTGCTATTACTAAAGAAAAATCAAATAGTGTACCAATTAAATTTAGCTAATACAATCAAAAAAATGTTCCAACTAACATATGATACTAGCATAGCATATAACTATACCAACAAGGTATAAAGTAGTAAGCAAAGAGTTTAATTTTTTTTAATTCAATTATTAAACTGAATTAATATCAGTTGTCAATAAAAATTTCAAAAAATTCTATAAGGACCTAATTGTAAGAGTATATCGTTACATTATACAGTATGCTATAATAGTATATCATTGGAAAAACTGTATACCAAAATGGTATATAGTATATTATTGTGGTATACAATACAAATTCTTCTTCGCCAGTTCAACACAATAAATTAAATTATACACTATTGAATTAACCAAATGGTATATAATATGTTATTTTGGTATATAGAGTATTGGCTCATTCCTTAAAAAAAATTTAGTAGTATACTATTGTAGTTAATTATATACTCTTGAATTAAGTATTGTATACCAATATAGTATACAATATACCATATTGGTATACCGTACAAATCTATCTTCTTTGCTAGTTCAACTCAATTTCAACCCAAAATTTAAAAATTTACTCTAAAATACAACTAGCAAGTTACCACCGTGGAGCGGCTTTTTGCAAAAAGATGAGGGGGAAACTCAGTAAGATGTCGGAGAAGCGAAATATACGAGATCACAAACGTAGATTGCTCGCGGCTAAATATGAATTGAGACGAAAGCTTTATAAAGCCCTTTGTAAAGATCCCGATCTTCCTAGTGATATGCGGGACAAACATCGTTATAAGTTGTCCAAGTTTCACCCTTTCATGTATTAGCAACACTAGAATCATAGTTGATTCATTATTGAAGTTTAAGAGATTTTTTATTTTTTGATTTAAGTTATATACATTAGCAATAACATAAAAATATTTTAATCTATTAACATACTATTTGTTTGTTATATAACTTATTTTTATTGTAATTTCATTAGGTTACTAATGATATTTACCATAAAAAAATTATTTGCTTAAATAATTTATAAGTGTCGTGATTTTACATATTATAGAAAAAAACTCTTTTAATTTTAAAAGATAAAGATAAAATAAAATAGGTATACTAAACTTCCTTTTTACAGGCAAATGATTGCATAACGAAAGAGTATAATTTTATACGAAGAGCATTGCAATGAGGAAAGAGGAATGGGTAGGCGCGCAATAAATTTAGAACCTATAGGTAAAAATATTAAAGGGATTTTTTATTCATATACACTATTTGAAATCTTATTACGAAAAATGTTCTTGTTTTGATATTTACCCGGCCTAAATACATTTTAGTTACAAAATATATACAATCCACCTTAAAAGGCTCACAAATCCATTATTTGTGTCTTAAATCAAGGGATTTAATTACTCGTTTTTTTCTCCTCTTCTCTTTTCTTATTTTTCTTCCGGGTTAATATACAGTAATCATGAAAGCTATTTTTCTCCACCCTATCATTTTTGTACAGTTCTCCCAAATAGCAATTCCCCACTTAAAAGATACAAAAATCACATCAGGAAGGAAGAAACCCAGTGCAATAATCACTGAGATCTGTAAACTCAACGAGAATACTTTAGGCATTGATTTGGAATGATATGAGGCTTCATAGCTGTCCGATTAACCACTTATTTGACGTTTCTATTGGCTAACACCACTACATCATTTTTACTTTTTCTTTACTTGTAAATATAGAAAGTCATTTCTACTTTTACTTACCTAGAACTTGTAGTCGGTGAATTCCGTATCACATGATTAGTAGGATAAGATTTGATTTATTCTACTAAATCTTTAGACGGTTTGACAAATGTGGTGTACATTTTACTTTGTGTAGTTTAATTTGGATAATGTCAAGGAATAATTGGGACAATTAGTTGCCTTCCTTTTCCATGTATTTTCAAAAAAATTTAACCTTATTAGAATCACCCTGTTAAGACAAGTAGAACAAAAATCAACAGAACACCTTGTCTCACCAAGCAAATATTCAAATAAATACTTTGCCAATTTTGTTTTATTGCTCATTGCAGAATCCATGATACAACATTATTTTTATAATTTATCTACAACTTTCATATATTATTTCTACCCAGTTATATACAACTACAATATCATACCACTTAAATATATGTTTATACAAATTTTATACAATATGTTTTTTGTATATTTTGTATCTGATTTATACATAGTAAAAACAAATTTCATACAACTAATTAAATATTATACAATTTATCTATAACTTTCACACATTATTTCGACTCAGTTAAATACAACTACAATAACATACAACTTAAATACAAATTTTATACAAATTTTATACAATATGTCTTTTGGGGGTAGTGGGAGTGATTGTAGGAATTGATTAATTATCCTTAAATCCTAAAAATGTACATAATTGATAATTTTGTATATAGAAGGTAATTAAAGTAAAACTTGAGTTGGGAGGGTAATACAATTTCATATAGTGTATAGGAATATAAAAATTCCAATAATAAATAGTTCAAAGATGGGCAAAAGTGGGTAAATATTTTGTTTTTTGTGGGCTAGTTTCCCATTTTTTTTTGGGAGAAATTCAAAAATAGCTAGATTTATAACTGATAGTTCAAAAATAGCCCAGTTTTAAAAGTAATCGAAATTTAGCCACTTTTTATGTAAAGATAATTTTGAGCGAAAACACTGTTCAAAACCCGAAAAATACGTCAGTATATTATACTGGAGTTACAAGATAAGTATGCTGGATACGATGGAGTTCAGCATAAGTACATTAGAACTCCAATATATTTTTCCAGCATAATATACTGGAGTTCCAGCAAGTATAATTGTCTAGTATAATATACTGGAGTTTGGAGCACGAGTGCTCTAGTCTTTAGTATATTATACTGGAGTTACAAGATAAGTATGCTGGATACGATGGAGTTCAGCATAAGTACATTAGAACTCCAATATATTTTTCCAGCATAATATACTGGAGTTCCAGCAAGTATAATTGTCTAGTATAATATACTGGAGTTTGGAGCACGAGTGCTCTAGTCTTTAGTATATTATACTGGAGTCAGCAAAGTATACCGGTCCAGCATATTATGCTGGAGTTCGTACACAGGGGCACCGAATTTTAGTATATTATGTTTGATCGGTCTCTGTTGCAGTAAATCTGTTGCAGCAAAGTGTTTATTTTTTATTAAATTCGTAAATGCTGACTATTTTTGAATGACCAATGCGAAAACGGGCTATATGGTGCTATTTTTACCTTCCCCCAAAGTTGACGTTTATGTCTGGCCCAGTCTCAGCAAGGATCGGGTTTCGGAGCACTACCAGTGTAACAATGGTGGAGGAAAATTTGCCAATACACACGTTCACCGAAATTCCGTCGCCGGAGATATTCTCTTCTCAGATTGAACCCAAAAACATCCCAGCGGTGACTTCTCTAATTGAGAAAATATACGCGTAGTAGTATACAAACACATACTACATGTGTGCGGATGTGCTCAGCAATTTTTTCTTTTTGTTTGGGTTTAGGTCTTCAAGGGATGCATAAAGCATTGGAAAGCTTTCTCAAAATGGAACCCGTCGGACGGTGGCCTAATATACTTGCAGGTTTCCTTTTCCGTTTCGTTGCTTTAAAATTATACTATTAAGTGACGCCTGATTCTGTATCATTAAGCTAAATAAATAAAGGATAGTTAAAATAAAATTAAATTTAGGAGGACTACTGGAAACACCAACTGTTTAGTGATGCCGCCTATGCACTGTAGGGCTGCCGGGTGTTGAGGTCTAGAATTTTCATATGATTGCTAATCACCGAAACTAAATTTGTGTGCCTTTGCAATTAGGTTTTGAAGTCTTAATATGAATTGCAAAAATACTTTCCACAATTTACTAGCAAAACTTTTGCTGCAAAACTATACTGCTGCAGTGTCACGACCCAAAATCACACTTAAGTGTCGTGATGGAACCTAGAGACTAGGTAAGTCTATCACACAACACATCAGATAAAATATAACAACTAATGTTAAATAAAACTGAGAAAATACCCAAAACATAGCCACTATGGTAATACAACCTAGGTTACTCAGACTCTTCAAAAATATTGTTGGGTGCATGTCAGATCCTTCAATTTTAGTGCATTTTTGGAGGATCCGACACGGGTGCGGCATCACTTTTGGAGAGTCCGAGCAACATAGAATACAACAATTACATCCCAAAACCCGATAATACACAATCATAAGCTCTATAAGAGGTACATAATAAGTCTCAAAATACAGTACTGTTTGGGATACAATAAACAACAGTAAGGAAACAATAGAAGGTGACTTCGAGGCCTGCGAGCGGAACAACAGGTATACCTTGAAGTCTTCACAACTCAGCTCAAACTCTAGCGAGCAGCACAATCCGAGGTACCTGGATCTGCACAAAGAATGTGCAGAAGCGTAGTATGAGTATACCATAGTCGGTACCCAGTAAGTATCAAGACTAACCTCGGTGGAGTAGTGTCGAGATTCAAGTCAAGACACTCACTAGTCAAATAACCTGTGCAAAAGAAATATCAAAGACTAGCAACGAGAAGAATAACAGGAGGCAATAACTGTAATTTTATCGGAACAAGTAATAGCAATTCAATACAGATAAGACTCAGTTTCAACAACAAGTCATCCAATAGAATCATACACATACGGCACCTCGTGCCCACATTATCAATCACCCTCGCATGACAAATACCTCGTGCCACATCATAAGTCATACCGCACGGCAAAGGCCTCGTGCCACAATATGAATCCAACTCCGTATTAGTTACCTATAACACGTTCCAGAGAACCATCAAGAATCAAATAAAGTAATGCATGGTAATAACTTTCTTTTTATTTCCAATCCATTACGCTACCAATAGAATATGAGATGACTCCACGTAAGTGAATCTATCTTGATAACCAAAACATCAAGTAATAAAAGAGGCATAGATTGACATGTTAGAAATCACACAACAAATCATGTATAAATGCATGACACACACAAAGAAGTCATAAACACAAACAAGAATGCCCCTTTTTACCACCACACAAACATCATCAATAAATGCCCTCAGGCCATCACATATCATCCTCACATAGCCACCTTTATCTCACTGTTTGCGCAATAATAAAGTAAATGCCCGCCTTGTCTCGCCACACGCATTTTAAAAATCATCCCACCTTGTCTCGCCGCATGTGCAACCCCGATATAACCGACCTTATCTCGCCACATGTGCAATATCAACAATAACAATAGCACGACAGAAACCTCGTGCGAACACCCGAACAATCCGCCCGACAAGTCCACATGTGCCACAATTATAGCAACACAACATGCCAACAATTGTCATCAAGACATAAACTCACAATTTACCAACGCAGTGCACAAGGACAAATCAATAAGCAAACGTGGATGGGTGTACAACATATAATATGAATTCAGTTAACCCAATAGCGACAATCTCACCAATGCCCAACTTGGCTAATTAAGGAGATAGAATCCTAAAACATGATCTCTAGCATGGAACATAAACTCAAATAAACAACCAAAGTGAAAACACGTAATGCAAAGATCTCCCAAGCAATGCAAGGCAATAAGAGCAACCCTGGGTCAAATCCGGTCATAAATCACACATACGACTGTGTACGCACTCGTCACCTCGTGTACACGTCGTTTTCACATAACAAAAATAAGCAATTAACCCAAATCCTAAGGGATAATTCCCCTACACAAAGTTAGGCAGGATAGTTACCTCAATTAGGCCAGATCCTAAGGGATAATTCAATACTCTAAAAATGCTTTTCCTTTAAAATTCACCTCCACTCGGCTCAAATCTAACAAAAAATGATTTAATACTATTACAATGGAAGAGAAACCAATTTCGATTAATAAAGTTAAGATCTTTACACAATTTCCCAAAAGTCAACCCCAGGCTAGCCTGGTCAAAACTCTAGTCGAAGGGTAGATCTTGACTATCCATAACCCCACAAGTCCATATATATGTTTAGTTTTCAAATCCGATTCCAATTCGATTCTCAAATCTCGAATTTTTATTTTTTCAAAACATAGACAAAATTTCCCAAAATTTATCTTCAAATCTCTTGATTTAGATGTTGAAATTCATAAATAATCATGTTATATAATTAAAATTGAGTCAAAATCACTTACCCAATAGCTTTGTATGAAAATACAACAACAACAACAACCACCTAGTATAATCCCACTTAGTGGGGTATGGGGAGGGTAGTGTGTACGCAAACCTTACCCCTACCCTGGAGTAGAGAGGTTGTTTCCAAATAGACCCCCGACATCCTTTCCTCCAAGAACTTCCCACCTTGCTCTTGGGGAGACTCGAACTCACAACCTCTTGGTTGGAAGTGGATGTTGCTTACCATCAGAGCAACCCCTCTTGTCTAGCTTTGTATGAAAATCTCCATCTAAAATCGTCTCCCACTGAGTATAGGGCTCAAAATGTGATAAAATGAGACCAAGTCCCGAAATTCCTCTATTTTGTTCAGTTGCAGAAGTCGCAAGTGCATTTGTGAACCTTCACAAATGCGACCAAAGGATTGCAATTGCGCTGCCTGACAAGCCAAGGGAATGTCGCAAATGCGACTCAGACATCGCATTTGCGAAGTCTGCCCAGGTCGTAAAAGCGACCAGAATGTCGCAAAAGCGACCGGCCTAGACAATGATCCACCTTTGCAATTGCGATCAAGGCATCGCATTTGCGACACCTGACACCCCCGCCCTCTTCGCAATTGTGAACTGGTGTTCGCAATTGTGATAACCGCAGCACCATCACACCAACAGTTCTCAACCATGTCCAAACCAATCCGAAACTCGCCCGAGCCCTCGGGGCTCTATACCAAACATTCGCACAAGTCTAAAAATATCATATGAACTCGCTCGCGAGTTCGAAACACCAAAATAACATCCGAAACCACGAATCAGACACCAAAACACATAGAATTCACAATGAAACTCAAGAATCGCTAAAATCACAGCCAAGCGTCTGATTCCTACCAAACCAACTCGGAATGATACCAAATTTTGCACACATGTTCCAAATGACAAAACAGACCTATTATAAGTATCGAAACCAAAATCCGAACCCGGTAGCCATAAAGTCAACTTATGGTCAAACTTGGGAAATTTCTAAACCTTCAAATTGCTAGCTTTCGGCAAAAAGAGCCAATTCAACCTAGGAACCTCCGAATCCACTTTCGGACATACGCCTAAGTCCAAAATCACCATACAAACCTATTGGAACCATCAGAACACCGTTCCGGGGACGTTCTCATAAAAGTCAAACCTCGGTCAACTCTTCCAACTTAAAGCTTCCAAATTGAGAGTTTCTCTTCCAAATAAACCTCGAACCTCACGAACACCGAAACCAACCATACACACAAGTCGTGGTACATCATATGAAGCTACTCAAGACCTCAAACCACCGAATGGAACACTAAAGCTTAGAACGACCGGTCGGTTCGTTACATACAGGAGGTGGATATCTCCTCGCTTGCCTCTTTACGCATGAAAGACAGCTAACTTATATTCACCTTCCTTTCCATCAGGTTCTTGCAATTAGGAACCTTAGATGTTTAAATTAATCCATTGTTTTTGTTATGCAAGAATTGTTGTAGCAAGCTTGAATAAGAACAATATTAAATTGAGGAAGTGATTACAAGAAGCATAGAGACAGACTTCAAAGGCATTTTTGAACAATTATTGCTGGAAGAGCGAGATAAATGAAAGAGAAATAAATATTTCATTTGCATTTTAGAAGACTTTTTCTGTGCTATTTGTTATCAGATTTCTAGTCTAGGTTTTGCTTCTTTGTCTAAGAGATTCTTACTTAGGAGTCCTCACTGCTTCGTTTCTCTATCGGCTATTAGGATGATGGGGACGATAGAGAGTCCTCTAGGCAGGTCCGATCCTTGCGTCCTTGTATTTTGATTGTTCTTACCGAGCTAGTGAATCTAGGATCTTTCATTTTCTTTTGCAATATTCTTTTTTGGACATGCTAGATGCCTCGTATGTACAATAAGTCAGTAGAAAGAATGTTCTTAGTCACACTCTGTTTATCCTGAAAGGTAATCACCTGAATTTCCACATTATCAAAAAAGAGGGTAATAACTTGAAATAGTCATTCTTCCTTGTAGATTCATGAAGTAGATGCTGGTGATGCTTACAATTACTCTGACAGGGTTTAAAACTTTTACATACACATTTTATATGACTTTAACTGGATTACATGCTAACACAGTTTTGGTACAAGACAGTAAAATTATAATCATGTGAATGAAAAGTAGTACTTGACTATTTGTGAAATTCATATACTCCATATTCATTTTAAAGACAATAGTAACGATGTGTTCTCTCTGGAACTTTCATTTACTTATACTTGACTGTAGGAACGCGTAGGTTCAGTAGTCGTGGAAGCTATGCGGTCCAGATCTGCACCCGTCTTTTATGGTGATATTAGAGGCCATGAAAGGGTAACTTGTTCGTTTTTGAGATATTTGAAGAGCATGAAATGCAAACTCTGTACTCTTGAATGATTTGGTTCAGCTGACCCTTTAACTTATATCACCCTCCATTTCAGGTCCCATTGCAATTCTCTACCTTTATCGAATATTGCTTGTGCCTATTGGAAAATAGGGATGGAAGGCGAGATGCTTTTCTGGAATCTCAGAAGCATAGTCTTGCAGTATCTGACACTGATCAAGCTTTACTTTTTGGAGAAGCTCCTCAGCAATTTTATTTAGCACAGGTGGCAATTTCATTGGCGATAGGAGTGGTCTCATTGCTTTCTTTCTAGTGGAATGCGACTAATACTGGATAAATCTTTTCTTGTTCAGGTACCAATTTTGAATTTTGAGAACAAGGAACACAAGCAACTGGAGTGCCTTGGAGAAGATATTCAAACGGTGTGAGAATGACTGCATTCCCTCTGCCTGATTACCCCTTGCTTTCTGGGCGCAGAATTTCGACTTGATTGACATTTAAACCTCTGCCTTGCAGCCTGTACCTTTGGAGACCAAAAGCCTGGCTTCTGTTAATTTGTGGATGAACAACATGAAGTCTAGATCTAGCACACACTACGATCCGCACCACAACCTCTTATGCATAGTATCTGGGTGCAAGGAAGGTTAGACATATCTGTATTTTAATGGAAAAAACTTCCTTCTCATGCTATGGAACTCTCTTGTGGGTGGTTGCTGGAAGCAATTCCAACATTGTACATTTAGAGGGACCAGAACAACAGTGGACAAAGAAAATTGTATATCGTTCTGAGTATTCTGTTCCTTTTGTCTGTTTGTCTCTCTCTCTTGAACGTTGATGCTTGGGAAGGAAACAGATTAGCTACGTCAGTTTAGTTCTTGGTGGCATAATTTTGTGCCACCTTTAAAGGGCAACCCGGTACACGAAGCATCTCGTATTCACGCAGGGTCTGGGGAAGGGCTGCACTGCAAGGGGTGTGATGTAGGAAGTCTTCCCTAATGCAAGCATCAGTGGCTGATTCCATTGCTCGTACCCATGAGCTATAGGTCATACGGAGACAACTTTACCGTTGCTCCAAGGCTCCCCTTCTCATTCTGTGCCACCTTTGGTTTCTGGAAATCATAGATTGTTATTTCAAAGAAGAAAATGAAGAAAAGAGGAAGATAATGGGATTTTACTATTTATCCAAAATAAAGGATTACATCTGGCTATTTGTTCTCACCTGCTAGGTACATGTAGTAGTAAGAGCTACCACAATTGTCCGTTTTAATAGATCTGGTTTCAATTCTAAGGCCTGAGCCCTGGTGCAACCCAATTACAACAGGAAAGTGTTCTGGGTCTCCTCCCACCGTCCTAACCCATGTCTTAGCTCTATCATATATGTCCTTAATGACCTTAGCACCTCTAGCCTCCAAACATCTCCATAGAACCTCCCTGGAGACTTTTTCATATTCTTTTTCTAGGTCATTGAACACCTTATGCAAGTCCGTCTTCCTCTCCCAATATTGTTCCGCCAATTTCCTTACCAGGTGAATGGCTTCCGTAGTCGATTGCCACAACATGAATCCGAACTGGTTCTCGAAAATAGGCACCTTCCTTCTTACCCTTACCTCTACCAACTTCTACCAAATTTTCAGTGTTCTTTAGCAGCTTGTACCCCTATATGTGTTGCAATTCTGGATATCACCCTTGTTCTCGTAAAATGGAAGTATCGTGCTCCACCTTCATTCTTCGGACATCTTGTTCGTCCTAACAATTCCCTGGTTGATAACCCTATAGTTGTTGCAATTTTGGATATCACCATTGTTATTGTGCAACAGAATCATCGTACTCCATCTCCATTTCGGACATCTTCTTCGTCCTAAAAATGACATTAAACAACCCAGTAAGCCACACCAAGGCTGCCTTGCTCACGTTTTTCCAAAATTTCACCGGGATTTCATCTGGCCTAGTAGCTCCCCCTGCTCATCTTACGCATAGCCCCCTCAACTTCCCTAACCCTATATGCCTACATTACCCAAAATTTTGACGACTCTCGAAGTGCTCCAAATCACCCAACACAATGTTCCTGTCCCCTTCCTAGTTCAAGAGTTTATGGAAGTATGTTTGCCATCTTCGTCTAATATGTGCCTCTTCTGCCAATACTTGACTTTCCTCGTCTTTGATGCACTTTACTTGATCCAGGTCATGGGTCTTCCTCTCTCTCATCTTGGCTAATCTGTACAACTTCTTGTCCCCACCTTTGTACCCAAGTTTTCCATACAAACGTTTAAACGCTGCAGTCTTAGTGCTGTAATCGCTAACTTCGCCTCCTTCTTAGCCTTTTTGTACCATTCCCTATTTGTCCCATTTTATACCGGTCTTAGCTCGTTTTTGTACCGGTCTTAGGCCACTTTATTTGCCTTGGCGATGGATGTTCTGACGCAACACATCCAAGGAGAGGTTCCACGATACTATTTGCAGATGACATAGTACAGACTAACGAGATGCGAGGCGGTGTTAAATGCGATGCTAGAGATTTGGAGACAGTCCCTGGAGTAAAAAGGTTTCCAGTTGAGCAGGACCAAAATAGAATACTCGGAGTGCAAACTCAGTGACGTAATTAATGAAACAGACGTGGCCGTGAGGCTTGATTCACAAGTCATCCCCAAAAGAGGAAGTTTCAAATACCTTGGGTTAGTAATCCAATGTAATGGGAAGATTAACAAGGATGTCACACATCGTATTGGAGGCGGGTGGATGAAGTGGAGGCTCGCATCCGATATTTTGCGTGATAAGAATTTGCCACCAAGACTTAAGGTAAGTTCTACAGAGATGGTTAGATCGACTATGCTGTATGGGGCAGACTGTTGGGTAGTTGACGAATCCCATGTCCAGAAAATGAAAGTGGCAGAAATGAGGATGTTGAGATGGATGTGTGGGCATACTGAGAGAGATAAGATTTGGAATAAAGATATCCAGGACAAGTGGGAGTGGCCCCCGGTAAAGGACAAGATGCGGGAAGTGAGGCTAAGATGGTTTGGGCATGTGAAGAGGAGAGACACAAATGCCTCAGTAAGAAGGTGCGAGAGGTTGGCCTTGGTGAATCTGGGGAGAGGTAGAGGTAGGCCAAAGAAGTATTGCGGAGAGGTGATTAGGCAGAACATGGCGCAACTCCAGCTTACCGAGGACATGACCTTTGATAGGAGGGTGTGGAGATCGAAAACTAGGGTAGAAGGTTAGTAGGTAGTCGAGAGTATTTCTTTTCCATACCAGTAGTATTAATGTTATTCTTGTATCCTTTGATTCTTAGTTTTCTATTACTATATGTTGCCACTTTCGCTCCGGCTATCTTCTTATCTTGTATTTTCTGATTCATAAATTTCTATTACTACATGTTGTCTCTTTCACTCCGGTAATCTTATTATCTTGCTGTTATTATTGCTTGCTGCTACTACTTCTTTTTCACATTTCCTTGAGCTGAGTATCTATCGGAAACATTCTCTCTACCTTCACAAAGTAGGGATAAGGTCTGCGTACACACTGCCCTTACACTGGGTCTTTTGTTGTTGTTGTTGTTGTTGGCTATTATCTCTACAAAATAAAGGATACATGTGGCCTTTTTTTCTGGCCTACTAGGTACAATTGCTAGCCGGAGCTACCACAGTTATCAGTTTTCAATTCATCCGGTTATTGTCCATTAGCAATGAATGATTTTTTATCTCTTTCTGTTTACATATCAACTGCAGTCAACTATGCTGAAATATTCTCCATCCTGAAAANCTTGCATCTGAGAACACCAGACAAGGCATCAAAATTAGTAACCTCACCTACCGGGAAAATCTCATATCTCTTTCTGTTTACATATCAACTGCAGTCAACTACGCTGAAATATTCTTCATCCTGAAACTTTGTTGGCCTATTCAAACTTTCTCAAAACTTTTATTTGGTTGGCAGTTACTTTATGGCCCCCTTCTGCAACTCCATACTTATATCCACTACCTCTGTATGGGGAGGCTTCAAACCACAGGTATTTCATCCTATATGTAATTTAGACGTATTTTTTCAGCTCTTTTCATTTATGGTTAGGTAGAAATTGGATAGTTCAGGCACATAATATGTTGTCCTCTTTTATTCTTTGTTTCCTTGCAGCTCTGTTACTTTAGAAGAACCGAACCTTTCGGTCTACCCAAGGGCAGCATGCCTAAATGGCTTTTCACAAAAGGTTGTTCTTCATGCTGGTGATGCCCTGTTCATTCCCGAGGGATGGTAAGATATTACCCTGTTTTATCTCTTACTAAAATATGCATAATATGTTTGTTTTCCTCCTTTTCCCCTTCTTTTTAAACATTGTAAACCCTCATTTCTCTGGATGTGGATTATCTCATAAAAAAAGTGTTTCATGCTGTATGATCTTACTGGTCTAGAGAAGAAAATATTCCACTACGCAAAGTCCGCCGGCATAAGTTGTGTGAGAAAATTGGAACTTTTGGATTGCTAGTACAGAAAATGTACAATTTTGACACAATTCACAAGATACTAACTTTTGTTATGTATGCTTCAATTCTAAATTACTCATTTTTCGATAATCTTCTGTTTGCATCAGCTGCAAGTGTCGTGTACTGCTTCCACTAATTTCTGTATGTCTGCATGTTCTAAGGTTCCAATTCGTTTAGTTTGTACCCATTTATTCTGTCAAAAGAATTGAGAATATCAATTGTGCTATGTGGTTGAAACTTAGTACTGGAGCAGTAATTCTATTGGAGTGCCCTTTTACAGAAGCATAAGTTGCACAGAATTTTCTTCCTTGCTTATCAGCATGTTCTGTATATTAAATCCAACAGTTATATCTGGATTTCTTGTTGACTACTGGTGGATGCCGTTAATCTTAGAATGAATTTATTTTTCACAGAAGATGTATATTGGGTTTTGTTTACTCTATTTGTTGGAGATGGAAGCAATATGTACTGTAGGAAACCCTCCGACTTAACCATATGTCTTTCGATGTAGGTCACTAGATGTATCAACTCATTGAATGACGTGTATCCACAGTGGCTCTATTTTCTCCTCTTTCTTTTTGAATTATTGGATGTACCTAGTCATTAGTGTTGATATTCTAGGTTTCATCAAGTGGATAGTGAAGTACTAACCATCGCTGTTAACTTCTGGTGGCGGTCCATGACAATATCTGGCATGTTGGAGCATATGGATGCATATTATCTGCGTAGAATACTAAAAAGGTAGTTTTGTCTATCTCGTCTTTTAGATTGATCAGATTTATTGTTGGCTCTTCTGTGGTGTTCATGAAGAAACATTAGACTAATAATTTTGCTCATTGGTGCTCTTCCACCTCTCCACTGGCAATGCAAGATTGACTGATAAGGAAATGGTTAGTTATCCTATATCTCCATTCATCGTTTTTTAATTACGTGAAATATCTCATTTAAAAGTTTAAGCTGTTAGTGAAAGAACACTTATTTATATTGGTCTTCGTCATGTCATTTCATGTGCGACATGGATTCTTTTGCTTTGGCCTAAGCACATGGAAGTTCATTGATAATGGATGACGATAAAACTCAATTCATTGATAAAATTCGTTGCTGGGACCTTTACTTGTATTTATACCATATTAAATTGTGGGAAGTACATCATCTACAAGTTTGAGCTGTAATAACAGGAAATATTCGTATTTCCTTATAATAGCTCGATTATTGACTTTCACTTGACTAGGCCCTCTGGTAGAAGGTGCGTACAGAAACACCTTGCTGTTTCAAAAGTAGACTATTTTTGGCCTTCACCTCTAACTCATCAAACAGAGTCCTTGTTGGTTCACCCTCCATGTAAACTGATATGTTTCATGCAACATTGCTTTGACTCGATCCTGCACCCTAGAGATTCATCTCATGTTGTACAATCTGTCTCACTTGCATTTGTTAATTGGGTCATGATGTGTCTCAGCTGGCTTCTGTGGGATGTATTTCTTTTTAATCCCTTACTTATCCACCACATTTTTTCCCTTGCACATCATTCTTTTCTTCATTAAGTTGGGTACGGTTGCCACAAATTTACCTTTCGTTAAAACAATTAGGTAAGGTCGCACGACCTCTTTACATTTGCCTTCCTTTCTTGCATTTGATCTCTCCTTCTCTGCATTTTCTTCGTTCTTTTTGTCAGCAATCGGCTTCTTTTCCTCCTCTTCTTCTTCGTTATTCTTTTCTTTTGGTTTTATATGTTCTCAATATGGCCTTGAAGATGACATGCTATTTTTTAACTGACCCCTTTAGTGGGTTTTGACTCGTGAAATTCCTCCTCCTTCTTTGGCTTTCCCCATGAGAACTTGCCGATGAGGGTAAGCTTACAATCTTTTGCAATCTTGACGAAGAAGTCCTGATCTGAAAAGGAATACGGCAGGTTTACCCATATGTGTTCCCTTTTCATTTCAATTGGGCTGAGATTTGAGCTTCATGGCAGATTTTCCTTGACCATTGCAGAAAAGGGCTACGGGGCTTCACCATAGTCTGAACAGGTATGGTAGGTGGTCGGAGCACTGCGTTCTTGTTTTGTTAGGTGACAGTCGATTTTTTTGTTTGGGGGGATGGGGAGGCTGGGTTGCTTTGTGCTACTGAATGTTTTTGACTGAAGCTGGGTCTGTTGATTTCGAGATGCTTTTAGCTGGTAGAATGGGTTGGATTGGTCGGAAATGGCTAGGTGGCGCTGGAGGGTTCATTGAAGGCTATTTGGCCCGGGTTTGCTAGGGTGGGCTGGCATGGGTGCGTGTCATCCATGTGTTAACTACGTGTCAGCGTACATGGAGGAGAGTTAATGTCTATAAGAATTTGGTTTGGTGAGTTGGAGGCGAAAGGCAAAAATGGTCCACTTTTAGAACGGTGATGGTGTTTTTGTTGACAACTTCAAATGGAGGGCATACTTGAGCGACAATCTAATAGTTGATGGGTAAATTTGGATCTTTTCCCTTATAATAATCATTTTAAAAGCCAGTTTTAAGATGCTTCTGTGCTTCATTTGTGGGGTGGAGATCAGTGATTCTGTCCTTTCAGGATCAGATGAATCATATATGTTTAGGATTGACATCCATTCATGTTCAGCTATTGGGTTGTCATGAAAAAGATAGATAGTACATAGATTGTTAGATTAAACAGGTTGAAATTAAGTACTCAATAATTTAAACCTTTCATTGGCTTTGATTCCAATGACCAGATGTTGGTCAAACAAAGGAATAAATAAAACAAGAACTCTTGGTTGGTCAAACATTAAAGATCCATCTGGTTACATATGAAATGCGTAATGCATGGAGTATAGGATAAACAAAAGAAAGCTTTGATGATTGATGGAAGACAGTAGAGGGGTGACTTGGGAGATCATGACAGACAATTGTCTGTAAAAATGTATATTGAGTATTGACGTTGTAAGAAAATTGTCATTGATCAGCCCATGGCGACGAAAAAACCTTATAAAAAAAAGGAAAAGAAAATTGACATTGGGGTCTAAACTCAATCCAAAAAGTTATCTCATGAGGCAAGGTCAAGATCATATAAAGTGAGTATAAGCGATACCCTTAACAACGCGGGACTGTAATACCCTATCGCACTAACATAACATGGGAACTCAACATTGGCTAACCAAAAATGAGGGATGACTGTGGCTCTGATACCATGTTAGCTAGCTCATGAGATAGAAAGTGTCCAAAATCGTATATAGAGATTAAAACCAATATCTTCAACTGCTGTGGGACTCTAATAGACACCAAGAAATTTTCAAGTGAGGAAGAACTGTTTGGTAACATTTGAATGCAGTTGGTGATGATGGAGGCGGTAAGACTATGATTTAGATGGATTAAGGAAAGTAGTTCTTTCAACTTGTTTTGACTTGTGATAAAGCACTATTGTTGTTTCCTGAGAAAAAGCTGTTTTTCTTGGGAAACTTGAGGTTGTACTTTTAATTGGACTGAATTGTTAAACATCAATGCAGAGATCGATTTACCATGTTGTTGGATAATAGGTATATACATGATTTTTTCATTTCTCTCTCTTTTGTGACCAGGGCAGAATAAGATGCTGCATTTTCCTTCAAGTAGTATGGATAAAACTATGACTTGTACGACTTCCCAGCCTAATGATGCATACGGAGGTAAATCATTTTCTCTACTTGTTAGTTTTGAATATTAGCTTTTGCACATTTTTCACTTCTGGGGTCTTCTTAATACCTATATAGGAGAAAAATTGACATATATATAGGCCAGTCCTGTGCTCTGAGTACTGTAATTCTATTCACTAGATCATGGAGAACAGAGAATCAGCACGAATTGTGGCGACGGGAGTTCAAATGATGAGCTTAGGTCAAAAGTGGTGCTGCAAGATTTGGAGCCATGTGTATCACAGTCTCTAAAAGAACTTATTTCTTTGGTCCATGACCGTCTCAATCCTAGCAAGCCGACGGGATTGGAGTATACAGATAATTCTTCTGCTAAGGAGAATGATGAGACGAATAAAAGAAAAGAGGACTTATGTAGCATCAACGATGATCCAGTTGCTAATCTTATTTTAACTCTTCATCCACTTACAATCCAGAGTGTCTTTCTTGCAATGGCGGTGAGTTCCTTCTTAACGANGGTGTTGTAAGCAGAAACATCATATTGGCAGATATATGATTATTGTTTACCTCAAAAAAAGATATATGATCCTTGGTTAAGTTCTACTGGAAAATTTAAGTTCTATTGGACATTTCTATACAAGCTTAAAACTCCCGTGTTTGTAGGGTGGAAACCAGTGTATTAGCATTCCTAAAATCAGAATAGGTAGAATCTGTATTTAGCTATACTGGACAAGTATTTCCTGCCAATATTTAAGTGAGTGAGCCCTTATCCTTCAAATGCTTTAGCATCTTGGAGGCTGGACAAACTTTTGGAGTATGTGATTTGTTTTCTCATGGTTTGTTTTTATCTTCCTCCTTTATTTCCCTGAGACCACCTTGTTTTTTCTAGAGTCAGCTGCTGTTTTATTAAGGCGTTCTCCACGCATTATTCATCCCAATCCTTTCAGCTCTCCGTGGTAGTTTCCTTCCCCTTTCATTGCTTTAATGAAGCTAATTTCTCATTTTCAGAAAGATTTTCCAAGAACACTGGAGGCCTTAGTACTGCATGTACTCACTCCTGTTGGATCAGAGATCCTCACTCGAAAATTTGAAGAGATGGATCAGCTAATTTCAGGAGAAGACCAGTATGTTTTGTTTGCATGCATTTCTGTGGACTAGAAATTTTCTTTTGCTCTTAACGTCCCAGTTTCCGGTGATGTATACAGGAACGAATTCTACCGGATCTTTTATGGCGTTTTTGATGACCAGTCTGCCGCAATGGATTCACTTTTGAATGGCAAGGAGTTAGTTGCTCGTCAGGTGCGACTTTTAGATCCTTAAGGTTAAATGCAACTTATCTGCTATTCAACTATTACATGCACTGTCACTTTTTATTAAGCTGGTATCTGTATTTCCTGGTGAAAGGAATGAAATTTATATTTATCGTTATTTTTGTTCTTTCTCGATGATATGAATAAAATATCGTTGTTGTAACTGGTGGTAAAATCATTTGACGGATAACCAATCTACTTAATATCTGGACCAAAATGAGCGTGGCGCATCTGTCCAACCTTTTTGTTGCTTTGAGTAAGTTCTCAAGGGGTTGTACTAGGGTCCTCCGAGCTATTTAGTCTTTCAACATATAGCGTTCTCTGATGTAGATCAGTTAAACTACAGGCTCTAAAATTGTTTGATCTGATTTGACTCTTTTCGTGTTTGTGGTATTTATTTATGCACTCGTACATACTACATGAAGCAAAATGTCTTCTCTCTAGTGTCAACTTCATTTTTCTCTTAATTGTATTAGTATGTGATGTCAATGGTTAAGAATGTATTTACTTCATTTGAGTTCTCGTCATTAGTCCGTACTGGAGAATGAGAAAAACCACTATGACTTAGTCTTGCTTATTATGACATTACAGGCATTTGAAAATGTGCTCGATCAGTACATGGGAATTAATCTTGATGGGCCAAAACCAGCAGCCAAATAGGTTACCAAGCACTTCAATGAGAATATCGGTCCCTTTCAAATTGGATTCACGACGGAGTCCTTTCCTCTCCACCCTTTCCTCTTCATTTGCTGCTGTAACCCTAAATTACTGAGGTCTCTACAAAATTTAGCTGCCATTTATTGCGTGCTTTTGTAGATTCTCTGCAACATAATTTCATATTGAAGTTCAGATTTTTCCTGTTTATATTGTTTAATGCCTAAAATATTTTGGATTAGAGAGTTGCGTTCTTTAGAAGTGATTCTTTTATCAAGGGAAATTCTTGAAATGGCATTTTCTGCCTTTTGTTTCCACTCTGGTCGTAAGATAATTTTATTTTTTTAGAGTGGGGTTTGGGCAGGAGGAGAAGTTTTACAAAAGCTTATGTTAAGTGGATTGAATGTAGCTAATTACCAATTCACTTGCGTCAGTGAGTTAACAAGCTTCAAAATATTGATTTTTGTGTCAGCTTAAAGATAATAATGACCATGGATATTCTTTTTTCAATGATACGTAAGGGCAATAATTTATTAGTAATCATTCTTGACATTTCTGTCCAGTTCATGTGAGAGTTGAGATAGGTCTCACTATGATTATCTAGTTTTTTTTTGGGTAATATTGGAGTAGTGTTGCATACTACCCTTCCCAGACCACTTGTGGGATTATAGTGGGTTTGTTGTTATTGTATTGGATAAGCTAGTATCTTTTCGACCCCAAAGCCAGGTGGCTAATGATATATATTAGTTCTTTTGCTCCCATGTTATTTTGTGTTATGGATGCATGCAGATCCTGCGCTACTAAAGATCAAGTTGGAATTAGCCAAGAGTATGTGAATTCTTTGGAAACATGTGTCATAGGCCTTTACCTTTTGCATTGTACTTAAGGGTTCTCAAGAAAAAGAAGCACTTGCATTGGGATTCCAAGCTGAATGGAAAAGAAACTAAGGCATGGTAAAGAAGTTTTGGTAATTATTAGGTTTTGTAAGGGAGTACGAAAGGAATAAAAGGGTAAACATTTAAAGATGCGATGAGTGGGTATAGAATAGAAGCTTTTATATCTGTCTATGACCCAGAGGAAAAGATGAAAAAGAGAGTATCTTTTTTAGTAGGCAAATGGTATATAATGTACCTTAGACCTGCAACTTATATAACTTTCTAAAAGCTTGGATATACCATAATACACTGTCACAACTTTTGTTAATTCCTTAAGGCCCATGTGACTGCATATACTTTTGTTGAGACTAATGGAATGTGATTCTTTCCTCTTTTCTTTTGTCACCTTCATGTTTCCTCTTTCCTGGGTATGTTGTTTATTATTAAGTGTTAGAGATTCGGAATATTATGTTAATTCTCGTAGCCGTATAATTAAAGCATCAAGTTCAACCCATGTTTCAATGAAATGTCTTAACATTTCCAGTCTTTAAACGTTGATGATGCTCTTAGTAAAAGATAGAGAATATTCCTGGAGTCTGTAGTAGAATATAGAAAGAGATAAAATTCTACGAGGCACTTGCTAAAAAATTAGATTCCGTTGAGATCTGGGATAAAGATCTGCCCAAGAACGACTAATTTTGCTTCGACTTGCATTGCACTGCCTTTCATCTCCTTTATCAGTAGAGCAGAATCTTCTCCGTCGCATGGGCGGATTCAAAATTTGAATTTTCTGGGTTCAGGATGTCACATGACACACAAACCACTTGAGTGAATTGGTTCGAAATTTAATATTTGTACATATATAATAGATCTCTTAAAGCTACTAGGTTAGTTGAACTCGTAGCTTTAATTAAATACATCCGCTCCTGCAGTTGTATGGCCTCAACCATCACTCTTGGAGAAATAACTTACTTGGAAAACAAACATAATGCGTCATCTAATATTAACATCAGATCAGTTCTTTGTATCAGTTTAAGAGTAAACTACAATACATAGCACTTATTGTCTTGATATTTCTACGAGAAAAAGAAAAAAAGGGAAAAGACAAAAAGAGGCCGCAGTTTTGGATCTTTTCCTCGCATAGTTATTGTTTAGTGGTCATACAAAATGTAATAATTTTGTTGTCAGTACTGAGGAGCCAAGTACGTAGAAAGATTGTGTAGTGTGGTGCACAAAAATAAAGAAAAAGAGTCTGTGAATGGCAAAAGAAAGAAATCCTAATGGAATTAATGCGCCCACAAATTAAAGAGATGAAAACCGTTGACATTGTTCTCTTCTTTTTAATTTAACAATGCTCTCTCTTACTATCTCTATCTTATAATTTTTATCTTTAGTTTTTTTAACCTTATTTCCTTTATCTTTTGCTCTTTGTTTGTACCACTAATTTCCGGACCACCACTGTTACACATACAGAATCAAACTTAGTGGCCTTTTTATACTCACGCTTATATGCAGGTTTTTACAGCTCTCGCCTCTCGCTCTCTCTACTTCCCTTTTCTTGCTTCGATTTCATAACTTTTTTTTATTTTATATTTATGTAGTTGTAGTAATTGCTAAATACTCGTACCTCATAACAGATGCATGGGATTTCTACTTTAAACAAAAAGATTCATGCCTGGGAAATAGCAAATTTACAAATAATTCCCTGAACCCAAAAGAGGTGGTCCGCCATTCCATCCCTACAATATCCCAAATTCTCACTATTTGCGTTTACTTTTACCACTTTCCGCTCTCTCTTGGACCAACGGTAAAGTTATTTCCGTGTAATCTATAGGTCACGAGTTCGAGCCATGAAAGCAGCCACTAATGCTTGCATTAGAGTAGGTTGTTTACATCACACCCATGAGATGCGACCTTTCCCCGGACCCTGCATGAATGTGACATGTTTTGTGTACCACACTGCCTTTTTAGCTCCTCTCTTATACATTTCTCTAGTAAAAACTTATATGTATTAGGTGTTTACACCTAAAGAATAGATGCATGACAAGTGTTTTTACATTTTTTTTATTTATTAAATCATGGTTCATTAATGCATATTTTCAGTATATTAAATCATTTAATCATAGTTAGTTGAGTTGTTTGGTGTAAACACTCGGTTTGAATTAATAACGTAGTATTTACCGTCATGCTATTATGTATCTTATAAGGTTTTCTCATATCCTTTAAGAAAAATCATTTAACACCCGATTGGAACAATAAGGGCAGGCAAAAAATAATAAATGATTTCTTATTTTTGTAACTTTTAAATATTTTTAACAAATTCAATTTGTCAAAACGGCTAATAAGGCAATAGCTTGCCCATATATTTTTGCCTTTGTTTTTGGGATGTGAACATTTCCGATTCAAGAATTGTTGTAGTAACTCGATTAAGGATATGCTATTCCAATTTTATCCATCTCTTAGAGTTAGGTGTGCAATGGTTGCTGCTCCTAAGTCGAATCGGTAAATGATTGAGTCCATTAAGATAATTCATCAGGTTCTTTTGCAAATTGAAGCTGCAAGCGTACTTACAATATAGTTTACACTAACCAAGTCTAAATATATCTTTAAAAAATCTTCTGTCTAATTTAATGGTGTTTAAAGTGTGACCTATTTACTACCCCATATCTTTTGGCATTGGGAATAACTTGAGTTTTCAAACCAAATAATCTTCTGAATATGGCAGGACAAAATAAACATTCCTTCAAAAAATAAGAACTCGAACTTTTAAAATTTTTGAGTTGGTAAATCTTACTTCAAAAGTAAAAAGTGAAAAGTTGAAGATAAATAAAAGTATACAGCATGCGGAGTACAACTGCTTTTTCACAACGAGTCATCTCTTACCAAAACTCTAAAGGCCCTAGTACTGTCTGACTGTTTTTCCAGTTAAGATTATTATCTCCGAGCATGATTAATAAACAATAACAACAACAACAACGGTCTACCTCTTGGTCCCAAACAAGTTGACATCGACTATATTAATTCTCATGCACTTCTTCATTTAAGCAACTCATATTATCATCATACCAGATAAAATAAAAGTAAAAAATAAGTTAAATACATATAATATTAGAAGTTAACAAATGTACCTATTTCCAACTAGTAAATATATATCGCATATATAATTTTTTTTATTGTGTCTTATCTTTAACTAAGTCTGCATTGATTCTAAGCATAATTCAT